CTGAGCCTGAATTGATTCAATCAATCTTTTCAGGTTAGTCTAACTTGGCTAGGCTGAACCAGTTTGTGACCATACAGACATTCCCTCTGGACTGAGAATATATGGTCATATGCATGCAGTGGCTCAGGCTAGAAGCTGGGGAGTGCTAAAGCAGCCCTCCCTTCCCTTCCACAATGCTAAGCTGAGGGGGATGTGGCCAGACCCTGGCAGGACTCTTTGATTAGGGAGGGGTTCCACCCCTCCTCTTCCCCTTGCTGCTCCTGACCAGCCCAGCAGAGAATTGATAACACAGTGTTTATCAGCCCATCAAGAAAATAAAAGCCTCTCTCATTAGTTCAAGCTCTTCTTAAACACCTTTTTCCAAGGAAAGAATGGAGGAACATTACCAGCTGACCTGTTGATTAGCTCCAAAAAGTTCTAAGCAGACACTGTCCTGTCTGCCTTACACAGACACCTCTCAGCATTAGCTAGCATACCACATGCCGGCTATGGATGCTGTGAGAGGGGGAAGAGGGGGAATCCCTGCTTGAGCAAGGAGTAGGGGGAGGGGGAAGCAGGAGGAAGCCAGGTAGAGGGGCAGAGCCAGCCCTGCTCTGAAGCAGAGAGCCCTGTCCAGAGCTGCAAAGCATCTGGGATGCTACGGGACTCTGGTTTAAGTTAAACCAGGAAGGGGTCTGGGATACACATTGCATAAACCAGTTTAAACAAATCAGTTAAGTCTTTTACTACATTTAACCAGGTTTATCTCAAACTGGTTTCAGCCATTTTCAAATTGGTTTATGTGCACTGAAATCTGTTTTGTTACAGGTTTAAGCCACTTAAACCTGTTTATGTGTAATGTCTGTCCCTAGGTCTACAGTGGGAAAGACTTCAATTTCATTTAATTGTGCAGTTGTATATCTTGTGCAAAATTTGCTCCTTACACTATTTTATCACTTTATAGGTACAAAGATGGGGATTGTGTTGCTATATTAGTCCCAGCCAATATAGTAGAAGATTTTGTTCATATTCCAATACAGGTCTTATACTTAAAATTGCTTCCATAGTATCTCAGGCCAGTGAGTTACATAAGTTAATTATACATATTTAAAACAATGTTTTCATTATTCATGCAAATTCACTGGCTTTTTGTTTTGATGCATGGCTCCTTGAGGTTTCTTTGAAATCCAGGAAAGAGTAAATAAAAGCCTATGGCTGATCAACTTTCTCTTTTATATTTATATTTCATCTTGCCATCTCTTATCCGAAAACTCTCATTCCTGTAATCTATGTCACTCTTCATTTTTGGACTCTTCAAATCATATTTTTCGGAGATGTGTTTTCTGTAACTTTCTATGGTTTTTAAGGTGAAAAGTCAGGATATGCCATCTGTTTTCAAAATGGCATAATAATATTTTCCATATAAATTTCTTCCCTTTTTAAATAGTTTCCACTCCCACAATGTGTATGGTAAATATTTTTGCTGACTTGTCCTTATTGACACCTAAAATTTGTCTTTGTTAGGTTCTGAGTTAGCTGTATCTGTCAGGCTGAAAGACTGGATTGAACTGTCCCTTATGTTTGTGTCTGTTAGGTTTGCTATCATTTTGTCTTTCTAGGTGCTATTTTTAACTAATCCTAATTTTTTTCAAAATTTGACACCTCACTATTCACCTCTTCTTCCAGGAATTTGATAAATATTATATTAATAAAGTACTTGGACTTATATCTTCATATGATATCAAAGTGCTTTACAAACTGGGTAAGCATTATTTCTATTCTGTTCTACATAGGTTCTTTTACCATAGCATCTGAACACCCTCCATTTGTGCATTAAGCAACATGATTGACATCTGACACATTTGTTCTTTCATCCTCTCTCCCCAGGGGGAAAGCATGTGCAGTAGTGTTTTGCTTGAAACTTTTCAAAGATCATATGAACTCATGTTGCTGAAAGTTTATGTTAGATAATGCAAGGTCATAGTACTCTATGCACTTATAACAGTGGTAGTGAGGTCTTTGATCGTTCTCATTTCCTATGAAAATTCATTCTGGGGCCTTGGCCAGCCCCTGAAAAAGCTCAGGCCTATAAGCAACTTAATGGCGCACACAGATGCTGGGTGCATCTACATACATGCTTTACTGCAGAGTAGACTAATTAGTTGCACGGTAAAGCATTACCATTCACACATGTGCCAGTATTAGGGCGCAGTAAACTAATTAACTCTGCCATAAGATAGTACTGTCAAGAGACAGTAATATCTTACAGCAGGGTAATTTACTTTGCTGAAAGACATATGTAGATGGTGACCTTGGGCATAAATTGTGCCTGGTAAGCCCAGCCAGAAGGGGGCTTGCTCTGCCTCAGTTCAAATTGCTGCTGTCCCAGGCTCACGGGTAGATGCTGCTCCCAGGAGCTGGAGTTCACGCCAGCTCAAGCCACTCCAGAGTTTATTGCTTCGCATTAATTGCACATGTAGATGTACCCACAATCAGGTGTCCTGAATTCAGCTTTGTTGCTGTATTTACATGACTATTGCATTTTGATTTTTCACTAAATGCTATATTGATTGCTATAGTTTATATTTATGCTAAACAACACAATTATTAGTATTGAACCACAAATCATGCTATTACTGTTTTTTCTTTAATATCCATTGATTATGTAATCCTGCTGCTTACTTTGTATCTTATAAAATGTTTAAATATTAAGAGACAACTTTATTTTCTTCCAGTGGCTACAAGTCCTCTAACAATTGCTATATTTCAA